AAATTCCAACCGCGTCCAATCTGTGTTTTCTTCACAGATAGGACACGCACATTGACCTTTAATGCTATACCTCGATAGATTTCCATATGATGAGAAATCATTAATTGTGCCAAACAACATCGCCCTCAAATTGAAACTTTCTTTCCTATATCCATCATAAACCTCCACACCGTTCTCCCACAAACTCTTTAAGTCTTCGATTAGAGGTGTCAGGTATACGTCTATGTCATTCCCTGGTTGTTTAGGGCCAGAAATTAACATAGATAACATCATGTACTTATTCTTCATACATAGCCATGGAGGTAGGTTATAAATCATAATAATTACAGGCCAGGTGGAATGTGAGATACTCTGCAGACCATGCAGATTCATTCCATCAGCCGATAATGCCAAGCGAAGGTTTCTAGCTTCTTCTCCAAAATCAGGATAATCATTATCAATTTTCATCCACTATGGTGAATCTGCCGGATGTCGATACTTCCCGTCTACAATTCTATCATCTGCATGCCACGTCAGGTGTTTTGCATCTGTTTCACTATGAAACATGCGTCTGAATCTCGGAATTATAGGAAAATACCGTATTACTTTTGCTGGTGACAATTTTTTCTTATACCGAGATACACCGCATTTAGAACACTCGTTTAATGATGCATATTCATTTCGAAACAAAATGCAATCATTTGGACAAGCATGTATCTTATCATAGCTCATGCCAATAGAGCATAACATTTTTTTAGCTTCATAGGTTCGATTGGGAAGAACATTATCCTCCAGAAGCATCTCTTGAAGTAGGGATAACAACTCTGTGAAACTTTTATCCGACCATCCATTACCCGCCTTTAAATTGTACAACTTTAATACCGCGGACAATCTTGTGAAAGTAGTGCAACCTTTATACAACGGTTTCTCTGCATCGCTTACCAACCTCTCAAACATCTTGGGACAATCTTGAAGATCTTTTTCAAGTGCTTCTGCAATCTCTTCGACTCGATCACAATCATATGTATCCCTACCATTGTCCTTTGAAGCACATGTCGTATTATTCCGGGGTTCAACATTCTCGTTACTTATCTCACCATGTAATGTCCAACATGTGTAACTTCGATCAATTCCATGTCTCATTAAATGAGATTCCAACTGAACGGCATCAATTCGACGCCCATAACAGCATCCTAAGCAAGGACATGTGATCCTACTGGGGTCTTTGGCGTGTTCAACAGCAAACTTAACGAACTTCGATACCCCATTCTCGTACTCTTTTGACAATCGATTACCAGACATCCATTTTTTATCCATACTAATTGAGTAATCTACACTAAACTATAAAAGTTAAACAAAACAGAGAATACCTGTAAGAAAATCACTAACTTCTAAGAATGCTACGCAATAGGATGCTTGGAAATGATCACAACTTTGCTCTTCACAGGTAACCCCTATAGCAGACAAAATACAAATTTTATTAAAATCATATTAATAATTAACCAAGACAAATCATATTAAAAATACTAGATAATCCACCAAAACAAATCATATTAAAATTACTAGATAATCCTTAAACCAAAATGACACCCTTACTAAACATTGAGAAATCCTAACTAAACATATAAAACCATAATAACATATAAAACCATATCATATAAAACCATATTCATGTTGGTTTTATAAACTCTCTTATCCATATAAAACTCTCTTAAATAATATAAACTCTCTTAAAAACTCTCTTATACATATAAAACTCTCTTAAAAAATATATGTATAAACTCTCTTATCCATATAAAACTCTATTAAAAAATATAAAACTCTCTTAAAAACTATCTTATACATATAAAACTCTCTTATCCATATAAAAGTCTCTTAAAAAATATAAACTCTCTTAAAAACTCTCTTAAAAACTCTCTTATAAACTCTCTTATAAACATTGTATTTTCATGACCAAACAGTTATCATAAACAATGGTGAAACTCTCTTAAACATTGAAACTCTCTCAAACAATGGTTAAAAACTCTCTTAAAAACTCTCTTATAAACTCTCTTAAACATTTCATGACCAAACAGTTATCACAAACAAAACTCTCTTATAAACTCTCTTAAAACATACAAAATATAAACTCTCTTAAAAAATATAAACTCTTGTAGAAAACATATTCAGTTCAAATACTTAACTCTCATATATAAACTCTCAAATCTAAACTCTCAAATATAAACTCTCATATAAACTCTCAAATAAAAACTCTCTGCTCTACTTAAAGATTACAGCAACAATGGTGAAAACATATTCAGTTCTACTTAACTTGATTGCATTCAAATAATAAAAACATATTCAGTTCTACTTAAAGATTACAGCAACAATGGTGAAAATATACGTAAAAAAGAAAACCAGAGTAAAACTTCAAATACCGTAACAATGGCGGAAATGCAATGCAGACGAGCAGAGGGACGGTGAACGGCTGCGAAATGCAACAGAGGAGGGCGGCGGTTGGACGGACGACGACGGTTGGACGACAACGGTGGTTTATAGGGCAACGCTCTTTGTTCGCCAGAGAAAAAGAAAGAAAGAAATATGTAATATGACTGTTTTGTTTCTCATAAAAATTCTGGTGGGTATTTTAAATTAATTCTAATAAACCTATAGCAGCGCTTTTTAATAGCTTTCTCAAAGACCTTCTAATGTAACCCATATAGTAGCGCTTTATGGAAAAAGCGCTCTCGTAGACCAGACCTACAGCAGCGCTTTAGAAAAGCGCTGTCTTTGGGCTGTCTTAGACCCCCCATTTAGCAGCGCTTTTTGGAAGCGCTGCCTTAGGACCCCCCTTTAGCAGCGCTTTTTAAAAAGCGTTGTCTTTGAGCTGTCTTAGACCCCCCTTTTAGCAGCGCTTTTTAGAAGCGCTGTCTTAGGACCCTCATTTAGCAGCGCTTTCTGAAAAAGCGCTGTCTTTGGTTATCAATTTTTTTCTTTTTTTTTTATTCCTCTTTAGCAGCGCTTTTTCTAAAAGCGTTGTCTTTGTATGCGCTGCTAAATGTCATTTCTGGCGTAGTGTTTGTTGTTGTTGTTGTCGTTGTTGTTGTAGTTGTTGTTGTTATGATTTTTTAGACTTAGTGTATAATATTGTGTTGTTTTTCATGTATTTTTAGTTGTTTCTGTTAAGTGTTATTGTTGTTTTATTGAGATGAAATGTTCATTATTTATTTTGAATGAAATTTATTTTATTTTTAGAAACTGTATGAGATTATATATCATGATTGGGTGAAAGCCAATAAATTTAGCAAGGAGTGTGAGAATGGAGTGATTCAATTTTTTAAATTCACAGAGAAAACCTTCTCAACAATAATGAGATTTTTTATTGTCCTTGTAAGAAATGCTGCAACACGCAAAACATCCAAAGAAAAATATATTTAATCATTTAGGTTGTGACGAAATTATTCAAAATTATATGAAATAGGTATGATATGGTGAAGTTATTAAAAAATACATGTGTCACATAAAGTTGAAATTGATGAATATATATATATATATATATATATATATATATATATATATATATATATATATATATATATATATATATATATATATATATATATATATATATATATGAATGATACCCTGGATGATATGATCCGTGATATTGGAGTAGACTATTTTAAGAAATCCCGCGAGGAAGATAAATTATAAAGGGACAGGGAAGATTCGTTATTTCCGGGATGCAAAAAGTTTACAAGATTGTTAGTTGTGTTAAGACTATTTAATCTTAATGCAAAAAGGTAGGTGGACGAAAAGCAGTTTCACTAAATTGCTTAATTTTTTGCAAGAAATGCTTCCAGAAGGTAACATGTGTCGAATCATAGTTATGAGGCCGAAAAGATATGTTTTCCAATGAGTTTGGACTGTATCAAAATACTTGCATGTAGTCATGATTGTATATTATATATGTAAGAGTATGAATCCTTGAAGGAGTGTCAGAGGTGTGGAGAATCACTATACAAGCTAAAGGACAGTGGTGTTGAAGATGATGATGGTGTAATTAAAAATGGTGTTTCTGCCAAGGTGATGTGGTACCTACCAATAATTCAAAGGTTCAAGAGATTGTTTACTAATCTAAGTGACGCAAAGAATGCTAGGTGGCATGCAGATGAAAAAGTATGTGATGGAAAAATTTTCCATGTATCTGATTCATTGCAATGGAAGATAATTGATTCATTGTTTCTAGATTTTGCCTGTGAGTCAAGGAATCTTAGGCTTGGACTTGCCACCGACTGAATGAACTCATTTGGTAATATGAGTACTAATCATACTTCATGGCTGATTCTTCTCATCATTTGCAATCTATCTCCATGGTTATGCATGAAGCAATCTCAGCTATAAATAGGGAGACACCCTTACTTATAATGTGTGCAGCAATTCAGTTAGAATTCAAATAAAATCCTCTCTCTCTCTCTCTCTCTCTCTCTCTCTCTCTCTCTCTCTCTCTCTCTCTCTCTCTCTCTCTCTCTCTCTCTCTCTCTCTCTCTCTCTCTCTCTCTCTCTCTCTCTCTCTCTCTCTCTCTCTCTCTCTCTCTCTCTCTCTCTCTCACTATTATTTTTCTAAAAATCCTTTCCCTTTAAAATTTTTGTGAAACTGAAAGTGAATAGTGAAGATCGAGATGCGTGATCAATCAAAATTGATTCAGACTATCGCATATATTAAAATTTAATTCAAACAATATTTTGGTAAAAAGAGCATTCTTTCTTTTATTTATCAATTTTTCAGAATATGTGCAATGAGTCACTCTAAAATGATGGATTTATTAAACTAGTAGATTTCTGAATATCCTTTACATTACACGAGAAAGAACAACCCATCCTAACATAACAAACTAGTACTAGCTAACACTATCGGTGAAAAGTATCATAATAGAACACTGCAACTAAACAATTGTGATAACCATAAACAACAATATAATTAACTTTTATTTTCTTTAGTAAAATAAAGTAAATTCCATATATAGTAATTATCTTGTTGCTCAAGGACGAGGAAATACACCACCACCGGAACCTCCAAGTCCGCCACCACCTAGTCCACCTAATCCACCACTGCCTAACCCGCTGAATCCTCCGAGTCCAGGAGAAGCACCACCGAAGCCACCGCCTCCTATTCCACCGAGTGCTCCACCACCTTGTCCACCGCCTCCTATTCCACCGAGTGCTCCACCTCCTATTCCACCGAGGCCAGCACCATCTTGTCCACCCGCATCACCGAGTCCAGCACCTCCTATTCCACCAAGTCCAGCACCACCACCTCCTATTCCTCCTAGTCCACCACCTCCTATTCCTCCTAGTCCACCACCACCTAGTCCGCCTTCACCAGCGTCACCACCACCACCTCCTATTCCTCCTAGTCCACCACCACCTAGTCCGCCTTCACCAGCGTCACCACCACCGCCAAAGCCTGCACCTCCAAAAGGAAAACCATTGTTACCCATTCCTGAAAAACCACCAAACCCACCAAAGGTCTTCTCGTCCTTCAAACCACCCTCTCCAGCAGGCACATTTCTTGCACTTGTTGCAACTACAGCAAGAGCCAAAACCACCAAAATGCACCACTTACTCATTTCTCTCTTTACCTTTTCCTCTCACTTAAAAGTATACTAAAATAACCAAGAGGGTTCTCCTTTTATATAGGAGAAAATGCAGTTGGGTGGTTGAATAAACAGTAAATGAACTTCAATGCTATTGCAGAGAGTTTTAGCTGTCAAATAACCAGCACATTGTACCATATTTTAGTGCTTCCTGCAAAGTGTTCCTACAGCCGATTTGTTTTAACCTATAGTTAGATTTAACAGTTATAAAAGTTACAGTTAAACTGGTCAGAATACCTAATGCATTAATTGCCATCAAGACAACCTTGGCCCATGCTAATAAAACAAAAGCACATGTTTCTGTTGGACATGGCCAAGGCTAAGAGGCCATGCATTCAGGCTACCATAGCCAAGAGACTTTAATCTTTCTAACCATAATTCAAACTATCAAAATACACTAACACTTATGCATTATGGGTTATTGTTCCCAATAACTAAGTAGCAAGAGATGGCAACAACAACATCATTAAAGTTTTCGAATATCATTATAATTTGACATAATGCACAAAATCAAATAAAACCTTGGAAATGAGTAATATTAGTATTAGTTGTTCTTTAAGAATGTCAAGACAAATACTTCCATTATTATTAATGGTTAGGTGAAATACCTTCCTCCTAAATGCAACCTGTAGTATTAAAAGGCAATAGTTAACTTATCATTTCTAAAACATTAATTAAACTAAATACAAAGAGCAAGATATTTGTAAAGTTGACTACCAGCCAATAAAACAACATTTGTAACTTGAGAATAAATTAAATAAGATAATAATATTGTACCTAGCTTCATCAATTTAGTACAACCCTATAACAGGTTAACATCAAATTTTATTCACAAATTATTAAAAATATATATAGACATCACCACTAACATGCTATGTTGCCTTCCTTCGAACCTGACTACTGATAACCACCCTCCAAAACTCGTCCTTTTTCAATTGTAGCTTTTCAATTTGGGCCTTTAGAGTTGCAACGTTTTTAGCTTATTAGATGACACGAATTAAAGGGTCTGTTTATTTTAACTTAAAAAAAAACTTAAATTATTTTCAAAAAAGAATTTAATAAATTATTTTTTAAAATAATATAAGTGTATATCTCGAAAATTAGTTTGACCAGTCGATGTATAAAATTGGAGGAAGTCTTTGATGAAATAGGGATAGTTCAGGTGAAAGTCGAGTAATAGTGAAAACTAGAACTCGGTCTTGCCAAATAATAGACAAATGTCGGGTAATGGATAGAGCTAAAAGTCGTCATGTTGTCGGGTTATGAGCCCTGATAGACCGAGGTCATCATCGATGCAGGGACATCATTTGAAAACGGTCTCAGAAGATGAAGGGTCGTAACTACACAATTATGAAGAAAAAAAACGTTACAAACCATTAATAAAAGGAGTTAAATGATTAAAACAACGTCGGTTTCTGGGCCATGAATGTAGGAAGGAAGAGAAAAGGATTTGTCATGATTGTTAGGGGAAGGATGGACCTATACAAAGGGTGTCAGAAAATCATACAAGGGGTCAAAAGTCACTTGAGAAAATACATACACAAACACGTAATCCAATCCTTTTAGGCTCTCCCTGACAGATAATAGGGAAGTCAACCTTTTGGTGATTTTAGTAAGAACACTTGGCGTCTGTTGTGGGGTCTCGGTAAAACTAGCCCAGACCACACAAAATCATCATCAGAATCGCTAATAGTTCAACGGTATGTCAGGGTCATCTACCAGCCGAAATGAGCCACCTCCACCACCGGATCTAACCAAGCTACTCGCGGTAGTGGAGACTCTCTTTCAACAGAAGCATAGAGTCAACATGATGGGGACGCAGAGAAGGAGCCTCTAGATTCCCAACCTTTGTCCGAGGCAATCTGGGATGATCAAGTTCCATAGAACTTAAATTGTTTTCATTGATAAGTTTTGATTGTAAACCCGACCCTCAAGAGCATATTATTGCGATTAATAATCAGATGGAAATAGTAGGGGCTTCTGACTCCCTTAAGTCCAAACTCATGACCGAGACTTTTAATGAAGGAGCTCTGCGATAGTATATGAGCTTACCTAGATTATCAATTGTTAGCTACCAGGACTTAACTAAAAATATGGTAAACACTTTTCAGCAAGCAATCACAAAAGAGTGTCGACTACCAGTTTATTTAATGTCTGACAAGGGTACTAGGAATCCCTTAAAGAGTATCTGGAAAAGTTCGATGAAGAAATAATTAAATAGTCTCATCTGAATCAGGAAATGTTCGTGGGAGCATTTCAACATAGCCTCAAAGTCGGGTAGTTCAATGAATCCTTAACATAAAACTGACATCCAACATGGATGAGGTTATTACCAGACGGAATGGTACATAAAAGGGAAGGAAAGTAACATAGAAAAGAGATCACGAGATGCCAAAGAAAAAATGTGAGTTAAAGAGGAGGGATCTAGGCATAGGAAGGACTACCCTAACTTCAAACTTAGAGACCGGACAACGATACATCCATCTCGGCATCCGTTTGACAAAAAGGATGAGTACACACCATTGAATTCCATACATGAGGATATCTTGAGAGAAGTTTATCATCTCAAATTACTTCCCATACTGGGGCGTCCAAAAGGGGTTCATGCTATGATGGGAAAAGATGAGAATGCATGGTGTGCATACCACAGACTTCGTGGCCACCACGCAGAGAACTGTCATCAGCTAAAAAAATTGAGATCTTAATTCAGAGAGGTTGGTTGTTGTCCTATGTTAAAGACGTTAGAGGACAACCAGGAAAGAGAAGTCCTCCCCAGAAAGATACTAGCTCAAAAAACCCTACTTAGAAAAAGAGGAAGAATACAAAGGAAGTCCACGAAGCCCGAGTGAATCATCATACGTTAAACACCATTGTTGGGGGATTCACATGAGGAGGAAAAATTAGTTCATCTAGAAAAATATATGCTCGGACAATGATGCATGATAGGCAGAAGCCGCCTTCCGAGTGAGAGGAAAATCGACCATAATTAGTTTCTCTAGAAGAGATGTCGAAGGAGTATTGGCCCATAAAAATGATCCAATGGTAATCAAAGTGCAAATCCAAGACTGGAGCGTAAAACGAGTCTTAGTAGATTTGGGAAGTTCAACAAATGTTTTGTAATGGGATGCATTCAAGGGGATGAATGTTGATATTGTCGAGTTGTTACCTTTTAAAGGTACTTTGGTCGGATTCTTCGGAGAGCATGTACATGTGCTAGGACATTTGCCCATGATAACAACTTTTGGAAGTGGAGACAATGCAAAAACTGTTAAGGTGAGGTATTTAATTGTCAATGTTGCATCTCCCTACAATATTATTATCGGAAGACCTTCATTCAATGCTTCGAGGCGGCATTATCCACTTTATATCTCACAATGAAATATTCTCTCGAAGATGGCCGAGTAGGAGTAGTAAAGGGTGATCAGGGGTTAGCAAGGAAATGTTATAAAGACAATCTGAAACTAAAAAGCAAAGCTCAAACTAATGAACCAATACAAGATGATAATTTAAAAGTGAAACTACTTAATATTGATCAAGGAGAGGATCTGGTAGAGGAAAGTCTGACACCCGTTGAGGATGTAAAGAAGGTACAAATTGGTATCAAAACATCCCAGACAACTCAGATTGGCTCTAATTTGTCTTTGGAGGAGAAAATCGAGATCATCAGAATTTTGAAGGAGACATAGTCATGCTCACATGGAAACCGGGTGATATGCCCGGAATCGACCCAAAAATAGTTCGTCACCATCTAGCGCTTGATCTAGTAATTTCATCATGGTCGTTTTACCAATGGGGGTCGGGTGTTCTAGGACCCTTTCTCGTGACATCTAGACATTTGAAGTTCTTAAAAATGCTTGTCGATTACTTCAATAAATGGGTGGAGGTATAAGTAGTGGCATGACTCATAGCAAAAAGAATACACCGACTCTACGGGAGAAACATAATATGTTGTTTCGGCCTAATCGGGGCTATTGTGTCAGACAACAACACACAATTTTCTAGTTTATCAGTAATAGAGTTTTGCAAAGATTTAGGAATACAAAATTTATTTATTTCGGTGAAACACCCTCAAACAAATGGCCAGGCAGAGGTGGAAAACAAGACCATTTTATCCAGGATGAAAAAGATGCAGAAAGAAGCTAAGGGGTTATGGACTGAGTACCTGCATTCAATCTTACGGTCTTATCATACTACACCTCATTCAACTACTCAGGAAACTCCTTTCAGGATGGTTTATGGAGCCGATGCAATGACACTGGTAGAAATCTACACTCCGACTTGGAAGCGTATTGGGATGAAAACACCAACTCAGACGGTCTGGACAACTCTGCTGATTTATTAGATGAAGTCAGGGAATCAAGCCACATAAGGGAGTTTGTGGCCAAGTAGAGAATTTTCAGGAGGTTTAATATAAAAGTAAGGCAAAGAGGATTTCACAAAGGAGAAATGGTGGTGAAGAGGGTGACTGACCCCAAGAAGAAAAGAAATCTAGCTTTAAATTGGGAAAGACCTTTCAGTATCCGTCAGAAGTTGAATAATGGGACTTACAAGTTGGAAAGTTTATAGGGTGTTGAAATATTGGGGACCTGGAATGTAACCAGTCCTAAGTTTTATCTTAGCTAGACTATATAAAAAAACACTATAAATAAAAAAAGTGGGAATGCACGTTTTTCCCTTACAAGGGCAAGGTTTTTAATAAGGCGCCAATAGTTTAAAAAAATATTGTATAAAAAAGGTAAAAGGGTCCTAGGACATGATCCAAGATGAAGTTCAAGCTACTTGAAGCCTCTGGCATAATCGGCTGCGATCGAACTACTTTAATAAAACCTCTGACCTAACTGAAGTCAAGGTTACTTGAAGCCTCTGGAATAATTGGTTGTTGTCGGGAAACGTTAATAAAACCTCTGGCCTAACTATCATTTCTATTCCTATTTCAAATTCAAACATTCCTCGTGTCAGGACATCACATCTCA